GGAATAGCAACAATATATTGATAAATCTGATGAAGAACCTATTATGGAGCTAATTATATGGTTATAACTGACAAACTAGAGAACTAAATTTTTAAAAGAAAAAAAAATGAAAATTTTGTTCAAAGACAAAATAACGTCTTTACAATGATAGAGGTTATATTTGCAAGTACAAGAGCAAAATCGATGCGAATGTTATATCAGATTTAGTTTTAACAAATTTTAAAAGTATTGCGTCGATGAATTATTGATTGCTTTTATTTGAGCAAAGGCATTTTGGTATAAGGTGTTACTTAATATTTTCTTCATTCTGTCATCTGTTAAGTAAGATTATCAGTTTGAAATTAAGTCAACGAATTTTGTGTTGTGTCGAGTTGCATTTTTTAGTTTTTAATTTCAAACCTTAAAGGTATGATTAACTGAGCCTGTGCAAGAAAATTGCTGTAATCAAATATCATCCTAGCACAGTAAAACTATTGTGAGAGCAATGTTAAAAAGCTTGCTTTGAAACACCTTTGAGGCTTCTTATAACCAATTTGTGAATGTCAATTTTCTTAATAGATCATATTATCCGTGTAAGATGGACTGCATTCATAGAGCGATTCATGATACTACTCATTTACTTATATTCAGATTAAAAAGTGGCGAATATTTGGAACGAGCACTACACACTGCAAAATTATTTGTTAAGGAGCTCCAGAAAGTGGCATTTATCCAACTTATTGCCTGTTCTATTGTTAGAATCTCTCCGTTTGGTTGAACTTTTGGCAAAACCGAGTATTTAATATATATTAATTTTTCAATTAAAGAAAACAAACAAATGTAATCATGTGCGATCGTTAATTGATTCGTATTTTTTACCTTTGTGTAACTTTTAAATTCAATTCGACTTTTAATTGTAAAGTGCAAATTCTTGGAGCTCGCGTTCTCAGTCTTTTTTAATAAATATTCAATGGTGCAGCCTTTTGTTCTTGCTTCGCTCTTTCTATTTAATGAACATAAAAAAATTAACTAGAATAATTTTGATAAATATCTTTGGAAACGACCGATAAGGATTAATTTTTTTACCTCGGAAAAAAGGTGACCAATGACACGAACCATGTCACGATTTATTTTTTCATCTTCCTAGCATAAGATGAAAGATCACAAATCTTATATTTATTTATTTAAAATATATTTCAAATACAAAATGCAATTTTTTATAAATTTGTTACAAGGTTTCTATAATATTCATTGGAACGGTTTTTCATTAATTCAAATTATTTGAATCTTCTTCTCTTCATTCTTTCATTTCTAATCAACTAATCATATTTTATTTTCTTTCACAATTAAATCATTATTGTACCTCAAATTCAAAGTGTTTCATTCTTCATCAATATAGAATCTCTTTAATAATTCATTATAATCACATAAACGGTAGCTCTCTTCTTTTAAGGAACAATGCCACTTTGTTGCAAGATTATTTCATTAACTTAAAAGCTTGTTTTATATTTAATTTTCAACGCCTTGCTAATTTTGAATCATCTCACTATTGAAAAACAAAGACATATTTTGATACAATTATAAATCTATATAAGAGGCTACATTAATATAACTTTGAATATGTTTTGCTTGTAATCCAATTATATATCTGGGAGTATATTTCTTCCAAGACCTAATGGAAAAGTTTCATTTTGAATGATGATAATTCAATTTAGATTTGAGATTCCCTTATGCATCAATAGGTTTAATAATCTAAGTATGTCTAAACCTCGCCTAAATAATTAATAAAAATAATAACTGTTTTAATTTAATTAAATGGCCCAAATGACCTTCATTGCCTATTGTTGAATTGATTTAGAATTTTTATCAGCATCTCCAAGGATTATATTTCTTAAAACGGACCATTTAAAATAATTGAGGATTGATACACTATTAAAGCTTGACTCACTGAGATATTTCTTATTGGGTATGTATCAGGAAATCGTAAAATAACTCACGCTATTCATACTCGCCATGATCTGGAAAGCGTACACGCAGGGAGCATTGTCATGATCAGCTTGGTGAATTAGGTTGAACAAACGAAAGCTTCCGATTGGATAGCGTTTGTACCGTGGCTGCACACAGTGTTGTACGGCCGCACTACCCATTCTCGCGTGCTAAAGATTTATTCATGAAGCTAGGGAACAGGTCAAAAAGTCATTCATAAGTCTTTGAAATTACCATATTTGACGTGGGTTTTCCGTTTTAGTTTCCATCAATTTGAAGAACGTATATTGAAACACCTTGAGATTGTCCTGACATTTCCCAGCACTGTTTGCGCTATTCACCCTTAACTTTCTTCAAAATTGTCTCATTTTATTCTATCTAAAAGGTCTCTTCTACAGGAGCGTTTAAAATAAGAAATAAAAGAAATTTACTATCAGTCATTTTATATATTAGAGGAATTTTCCTAAGCGATGCATAATACGTCAATGGCCAACCACTTCAGTATCATTTCTTTGGAGACATATTTTTTAATGCTACTGAATTTCATAATCAAATCAAGACTTCATTTGGCACATAACAATGGACAGTTGAGGTGAGTAAAATTGACTTATTTCCCATAAAATTTATGTATTCATGTGATTGTGAAAAGTATGACTGGTGACATCTTTGATTTTTGAGAGTATTATAAAGAATCTAAAATACTTAATACATTAACCTGATCATTCTTTGACAAATATAGTTTTTTTTTATCCATGAAGGGTTCACACGTATTGAGTGGAAAGCTATTTAGGCTAGCAAAAGTATCATACGCACTCGCAAAATCTGACAAAAATGTTACCAATCATTAGTTTATTATCCCTAAGCGCAGCAAACCATCTGATTAAATAATTGATATACGTAATACAAACAGAGTTTACGTATATTGAAATCATTTTCTTGTGATTTAGATTTATCTTTATGAGTATGTTATGGCAGATAAAGTTTTTTATTACAATTGATTTTTATCTTCTAGAATTTGAATGCAGTTACCCTTAAATATTTAGCTGATTATTTTTTAAACAAGAATATGCACAAAATTACTTCATTTCCATAATAACGGGTTCAAATATAATCTCTTGATAACGAAAAATTATGACCGCAATAAGGGTGTAAAAACATTAGCTTTTTTCACCATTTAATTTTGATGCCTTGACTAGGACGTTCGTGACTTAATAATTTAATTAGTAAAATATAATTTTCCATTCGTGTCATCTGTAGTTTTTTTTGAATGCTACTAATCATCCCAAAAATTTACTACCATTTATCGGGCTAGTCTAACAACAATATCAATGTATAATCAATGTAGATATTGCATGTTTTGAACGGAAAGCCATTAGGTCTAAACGAAAGAAACATGTCCACCCAAACAATGGGAGAGTATGCTACCGATCTATCAGCGGAAATCATTTGTTTATTGTTTGGAAACATAGCAAATGATTTTACTTTAATTAATGATGTTCCAAATGTAAGCACAGTTAACAAAGATTCAAATTAATATCTTGATATATGAGACGGTAGTTATGAGTATGCAATGTCAGAGAAAAGCTTGAATTATAATTAGATTTCCTGTCTTCCATAACTCAAGATCGATTCATTTTAAATGAGGTTTTGCCCAAAATTACAACCATTTCCAGAAAACATAATCGCATTAACTCAAAATACCAGCTAATTGTGTGTATAAATATTTTTTTATTCAGCAGTTATTAAATTGCTTAAGTTTGACTTAGACGCTTAAAATTTGATTTATTGTGATGAAAAAAACCGCCTATGAAACTCATATTAAATTCAGTAATTTGTTTTCAAAAAGTTACAAATTTGCATTTGTGCCGAATATGGAAATTAATTTTACATTCAAGGCTAAAAAAAGAAACATTGTCTCAAACATATTAGATAGGAACATGCTCCTAAAAATATATTTAGTATCAATTTTCAGTGCCCTTGGATTTTCCAAAAGCAGATACGTTTATCTCTCACGAAAATGCAATTATTAATCGGTTCGCAGCGATAATAAACGCGCCATACTTTACTGATTTATTTAAGACTATTAATTTGTTCCCCTGAATGATTAAAACATTAATAATTGAAAAAGGGTAAAGACGGCTTTTTATAAGAAGAAGTATAACATGCCGCATCAAGATAAAATGAAGAAATGGATCATATGGAACAATTTGTGATTTTAATATGCAAGCAATATGCTATTTTTTACAAATTGCGTAAATTTAACATGGTCTCCAATAATCAGCAGGAGATTTCCGCAATTAATTTCATAGTTCCACCTAGTTTGATAGTCAAAATTGAGATATTCTAGCAAGCGTCAGGAAATTCAATTGTCAGGTGTTATTTCAAGTTGAACTTGACTTAAATGTAAATAGAGACTAAATTTAGTAGTTAAAGTGCAATTTCCAATACAGAAAAAAATAAGAATATCGAACCATGTTTGTATAAATGAATCTCAGATCTTAGATCTAATAAATTATAATCGCGATGAAATCTGATCATTCAATTTTCCAATAACGTCATTTATTCACAGAATTTTACATATCTGATTGTACACTATTCTTTATATTGGGCGTATAAAAAGTTTTGGTAATAAAACATGACAAAGGGGAATAACTCAAAACACAGATTGGAAACGAAATCGGAATCTTCTTCTCCCAATTCAGAGACATCCAGTAATTCATTAAATAAACTCGTTTCAAATTTCTATCGGGCAGACCATATTTATTATTCTCTTCTTCAAATTCAAAATCAGTCTTCATTTCTTATACACAATTATAGATTACTGTAATATGTACCAATCGGATTTAGAAGACGAGCACCAACAAATGAAAGAGATGTTCGGTAGTGCATTTTCGTGTTTGTTCGATTAAATTCTCTCGAAAATAATTTGTTCACATCAACACAATTTTTTAGGCCCAATCTCTTAAATCAATCATTGTCACTCTTTAGATGATATGAATCAAGAATAAGGGAGTAACCTTTTAACTTTGCCCGAAATGCCACATCAGAGCTCCGGGACACCACATGACAACGCCTCTAACATCCCTCGAAATGATGTGCAGGTTTTACCACCAAATGTGAACACAAATTTAAATAATCCTCGGTATGTCACTTTTTTTTTAATTTGAATTCTTTAAATTCGCTTAATTGGGGTTAAGTTCAAAAAGGAATGACATGAATGCGGCTTTCGATTATCTGTGGTGCTATTTTGGCGGAAATTTTAATTCATGAGATGATAGCCCGTTTATTTGTTATAAGCCTCAGTCAAATGCTTTCAAGGAGGAAAGGAGGACTCACCGTCAAACTGACGATTCTTCATTGACCAACTCTGCCGTTGATTAATTTTATTGCCTCAGATGGAATTTTAGATCCAAAGACAGAAATGAATTTCCAATCCATTTACAGTCAGTTCATGAAGTGAATAAGAATTCGGCAACTTCCTTTGGTAAGCCAGTTTGCAATCCTACCGTTTTAAATAAATGGTTTAAATGAAAGTATCGATGAAACCTCTGTAATCTGGGCCATCTCTTAACATCCATAGTTAGAAATAAATACATTATTAAATTTTGGAAATTTTCCATATGACTTTTATTCATGCTAATTCGATTGTCAATCGCTTGATTCCGATGAGAATAAAACTGAACACAAACTTCGAGGGGAATTTAAAATAGTGCTCTGAGTTGTAAAGTTCCATAAATGAACTGGTTGCTGTAATTTGCTTCGCAAATAATTGTTCTGAAATATGTTTAATAAAACGTGTCCATATTCACGGTAATTTGGTGAGTTTGCCGTCAATATTCAAGTTATATTTATCAAATTTCTCCATAATCCGATGTGTACCTCATTAGCATACTTATATCTTCTATGAGATTTTTCCTAAACGGACTTGTCAAAACGATGATTATTGAGAGTTTTAAAGTGAAAATTGGCATTTGAGAGACATCTGGTGCTAAATCAGAAACATGATTTTCCTATGACTTGCCAATTCCAACTTAAATATATACTGCTGATCCTGTTAATCACTTCTATGCCGTTATTTTAGCTCTTCATTCCAATGTGGACAATAACCTTCCAAATAAATGTGGTCTTGCTAATGGGGTTGCAGACAACTTCGAAAAAGTGAGTAAAGAAACCACAAATGAAGAAAAGCGTTTCAATTGTGATGTATGCAAAAAAACTTTAGTAATCAAAGCCAATTAGACGCTCACAAACTCAGACATAGTGGCGAAAAACCATTTGAGTGGGTTACTTTTGAAAATCAATTTTTTACAAAATTTGAACTGAATGCTCACAAACGTATCCACAGTGATGACAAACCGCACAAATGTGGACAATGCAAACAAGCTTTCAAACGTAAATATTCTTTGACTCTGCATATGCGTACTCATACGGGAGAAAAACCGTACACATGTGGTGAATGTAATAAGGGATTTATCGATTCATCAAATTTGAACAGACATTTCCGCGTACACACTGATGAAAGGCCATACCGATGTAATGCATGCAGAAGGAGGTTTAAGCAGCAATGGAATTTGAGAAGAAACATGCGTTGCCGTATTCTTTATGAATCATTTAAATGCAGTGTACGTG